TGTAATGTACAGTGCTGAGCGAACTATTGGCGCTTTATAAATACTGTATAATAATAATAATAATCTACTGTACGATAAATATAGTTTTGTGTGTGACATACTTTACCTCTGTTGCCCAGTTGGGCACCATTTGTAGCCTGATAAAGCATACAGAAAGCCTGTCCAGCCTTACTAACTACTTGCTGATGACAACAGCCATCATTCTCATTAGGTTTTTTTTTATTCTTCCAAATTCAAGCTGAGGGTTTACCTTTAAGGAAAAATTTTCTAAGAAAAACATGTTGACTGCCATACCAATGTTCAGGCTTCAGTACTTTCAGAGTTCCTGATAAGGAACAAATCAGGAAAGTCAGAGAAAAGTCGGAGCTGCTTATCCACATACTTGTTCTGAGTTATTGACTTATTATTGAAACCACAGGGTCAGCAAAACGCCAGGCAACTAGCATTTGCAGAATAAGAAGTCAGCACAACAGTCTCTTGTGTTTTTCTTTTCTTTTTGGAAAGGTTTTTTTAAAGGACTTTAAATAGAAATGCTTATGACTAGTAGAAAAAATACAATACTTATGTATAAAGGCATGTACAGATACCTTGCTTTGTCTTTGCCACCATCCAACAATGCATTTTTAGAAGAAAATCCTATCTATATTGAATGGCTTTGTGCTTCTTTACTCCACCTCACAGAGAAGGTCAATTTCTGGGCGTTACTGTTATGTTGCTTCATTGAGATTAGAACCTGAAGAAAAGCTCACAGCTTTTTTTTTTATTGTCACATTCATTGAAGAAGAATGATTTACTACGCAAGTCAGAACAAGGCCTCTCTATCCTGTGTTATAGTCTGTGTTTTTCAGTCAGAACAGGAGTTTTCTTTTGACCCCCACCTGTGTTAATACTGGTGGTGCTGGGCTCTGCTGTAATTGTGCCTCTCCAGGCTTTTTTAAAAATTCTGACTGGCTCTTACTCTCCCTATAATTGACAAGCTTTTTCCCTGCATTCTTAGTGACTGTATTATTAAGCCAACGGCTTGGAGCCAATTGCCATTAGTCAAAGCTCATTACATATGCATCTCCTTGCTAGCTGCATGGACGGATAGCAATGCAGGGATGGAGGCGCCCTGTCTGACCATGTAGCTAGCCTTATATATCACCTAGAAAGATGGGAATTGGCAGAACATAAGTAAATGTCTGTGTCGCTCGGGAAACATGCGCAAAGATGTATGCTCCACCCAACGTGTTTGGTCACACAGAAAATTTGTATATTACATGCAATCAATAAAACAAGGATTGTACATAGAACAATATCGAACCTCTGAAAAGTATAAGCATGCATATGTACTCAGTACTTGGTTTGGGCCCCTTTTACAGCAATTACTGCCTCAATGTGGTGTGGTATGGAAACTATCAGCCTGTGGCACTGCTGAGGTGTTATGGAAGACCAGGATGCTTTAATAGCGGCCTTCAGCTCTTCTGCATTGTTCGGTCTCATGTCTCTCATCTTTCTCTTGGCAATGCCCCCATAGATTCTCTATGGGGTTCAGGTCAGGCAGGTTTGCTGCCCAATCAAGCACAGTAATCCCACAGTCATTGAACCAGGTTTTGGTGCTTTTGGCAGTGTGTGCAGGTGCCAAGTCCTGCTGGAAAATTAAGTCCGCATCCCCATAAAGCTCGTCTGTGGAAGGAAGCATGAAGTGCTCCAAAATCTCCTGGTAGACAGCTGCCTTGACTCTGGACTTAATGAAGCACAGTGGACCAACACCAGCAGATGACATGGCTCCCCAAATCAACACAGACTGTGGAATCTTCACACTGGACTTCAAGCATCTTACAGTGTGTGCCTCTCCATTCTTCCTCCATACTCTGGGTCTTTGGTTTCCAAATGAGATGTAAAAGTTGCTCTTATCAGAAAAGAGGACTTTGGACCACTGAGCAACAGACCAGGTTTGTTTTTCTTTAGCCCAGGTAAGACGCTTCTGACGTTGTTTGTTGTCCAGAGGAATATGACATTTGAAGTCCATGTCCAGGATCCGTCTGTGTGTGGTGACTCTTGATGCACTGACTCCAGCCTCAGTCCACTCCTTGTGAAAGTCCCCAACACTTTTGAATGGCCTTTTCCTGACAATCCTCTCCAGGCTGCGGTCATCCCTGATGCTTTTGCACCTTTTTCTTCCACACTTTTCTCTTCCATATAACTTTCTATTAATGTGCTTTGATAAAGCACTTTGGGAACATCCAACATCTTTGGCAATTACCTTTTGAGGCTTTCCCACCTTGTGGAGGGTGTCAGTGATGGCTTTCTGCACAACTGTCAGGTCAGCAGTCTTTCCCATGATTGTGATTCCTACTGAACCAGACTGAGAGACCATTTAAAGGCTCAGGAACCCTTTGCAGGTGTTATGGCTTAATTAGCTGATTAGCGTGGGACACTTTGAGCCTAGAATATTGCACCTTTTCACAATATTCTAATTTTCTGAGATTGTGGATTTGGGGTTTTCATGAGCTGTAAGCCATAATCATCACAATTATGACAAATCACGGCTTGAACTATCTTGCTTTGCATGTAATGAGTCTATCTCATATATTAGTTTCACCTTTTAAGTTGCATTACTGAAATAAATGAACTTTTGCACGATATTCTAATTTTTTGAGTTTCACCTATATGGTTCTAAAAAGTAGGAAATACATAGGCGTGTGGGATTAAAAGTGAAGTTGTAAAACATTTTGAGCATTGTGGGTAGAGTATTTAAATATGTAAGATTTAATCATCTCCCCAGTAAATGCTTATTATGGATTTCTAAATACTGCTGCAACCTAAATAAGAAGATTAATTTGGCCCTGAGAATTACACGTCGTTAAAATAGAGCAATATTGTCATTTACTACTTGGAAAGGCATTGAAATCAGTCGAAAGTTGATCTCTAAGCATCATTATATCAAGTTACTTGTTTGTGGAAAGGGGAAAATTACATAATGTATCAAATCAGCCTCTTTTAGAACATCAGGAGATCCCAGGTGTGCAGTGAATAGAACCTAACACAACCGATAAAGATGTTGCATGCTTAGCACTGAAGTTTCTGGCAACACACATCTCTAGGGTCCGCTAAGCAAAAGAACACCTTTACTTAACCATTTCTGTGAGGTACAACATTCCAGGGAAGAACAACCTTGCCTTAATTTACTTTTGCCTGTACCATAGATGTTTTAAGAATAATAGCTGTGCAAGCTCATGTACTTTCAGATAAAAGATAAAAAAGAAACTCAACAGTCAGCAGGCCCAATCAGACATTGCCTACCCAAGCATTAAAAGAATATATTGCTGCTTACCAGTCCATAGATGTGGTGGCTCCATTAGTTTTCTTTTTAAGGCTTATTTTCAATATTTTCACATGCTGGTCATGCCAGTAACACACTTCCTGAGTTACAATGCTCATTCACCATATTGCATCTATGCAGGGGCAGCGTTGTCACCCTAGGCTGCTCTTACACTACATGGGTGAGGTATTCTGCAGTTTTCAGAAAAATAGCTGCAAAAGCTGAGAATATTGTTTGATATTTTGGTTCGGTTCACAGAAAGTTACACCACCACTGGACTTCGATCAGGATCAAGAGGTGTTTTTCTGTACTTGCAGAAAATGTACTTAGAGTGAAAATGAAAACTAAGGCAGAAATACACACTGTGGAATTCATAGAGGGTCATAGACACTCTTTAGAATGCTTTTTTGCACCTCGGCATCAAAATTGTGTATGTTACAAATTCATGTACCTGTCAGGAACCGATACATTCATTTGTTGCAGGAGGTGGCTGGCACTGAAGCCTTGCATTACTGAGCTTCTGCTGCTTGGCTAGTGCACTTGGCACACAGACAGGTGCATCGGCCGAAGCGTTTTGTTGTGGTGTGGGCAGAGTCTGATGGAGAACATTAAGAGACTAGTTCCCCATCAGGAATATAAATAAAGAAAAAAATCCTCTTGCGCTGCCAAAACTAATATGATGAACTGAGTGGCTGCAAACACCAAACTGCATTCCTACAACACTAAAAAATAAATGAATAAATAAATAGTGCTGCGCTACTCACTAAACCTAACCAGAAAGCAAATAATAAACACATGACAGAGCCCCTAACTAAAGTGATATGAGTGCATACCTAGAGAATAACCAACACAAGTGAATGAAAATATCCAAACAGACTAGATGACCTGCTAGGCAATACCATATATGAACAAATCGATAAGTGAAACTTCAACATATGTGCAAGTAGACAATCTGAGTAATATATATATAGGCATAAATTAATATATACACAGTATATATAAAACCAAAACACAAAATAAAAAGAAAATGTTGAATAATAAAAAAATGGATATGATATCCATAATAAATTGACAAATCCATCAATGGCTTACAATATCGCGCCACGGTGACGTGCAGACCATCAAGTGTCAAATTATAATATAATATAATTGGAGCCGCTATTTTAAACAAAATTAAACAGTGTGTGAATAAATGGAAATTACATAAACAGCACTCTCAACCCTTAAATAACATTTTAAAAGATATATAGAAATCAAATAATAAATATGTCAGTGCGTCTTATGGAGCGGCCCACTGCCGCCGCCATGTCAGAATACTGGGCCGGCCGCTCGTCTCTCCTCTGCAGCAGGACATTACCTGTTCCTCGGTCCAGCGCTGAGAAAGCTTCCCGCATCGGCATCTTTAGTGTGGGCTCTCAGCTGTGACAGCCGGGTGCCCAGTGCGCATGCGCGAGAAGCGCTGCGCTTTGTGAATAGTACGGCGTCTTCTGGGACACATGACAGGTCCCAGAAGACGCTGGACCAATCACAAAGCACAGCGCTTCTCGCGCATGCGCATTGGGCACCCAGCTGTCAGCCTGGGGCCCACACTAAAGGGAGGACAACTCCGCGGAAGTGGGAGCGGGTACCTGACAAATTCAGGTACCCGCTCCCCCTCCCTCCCCAAAGGTCAGCAGTCTCTTAGTGATCCCCTGTACTGTCCGCAGTCTCTCTTAGTGATGCCCTGTACTGTCAGCAGTCTCTTAGTGATCGCCTGTACTGTCAGCAGTCTCTTAGTGATCTCCTGTACTGTCAGCAGTCTCTTAGTGATCTCCTGTACTGTCAGCAGACTCTTAGTGATCTCCTGTACTGTCAGCAGTCTCTTAGTGATCTCCTGTACTGTCAGCAGTCTCTGGTCATCCCCTGCACTGTCTGCAGTCTCTGGTCATCCCCTGCACTGTCTGCAGTCTCTGGTCATCCCCTGCACTGTCTGCAGTCTCTGGTCATCCCCTGCACTGTCCGCAGTCTCTGGTCATCCCCCGCACTGTCCGCAGTCTCTGGTCATCCCCCGCACTGTCCGCAGTCTCTGGTCATCCCATGCACTGTCCGCAGTCTCTGGTCATCCTCTGCACTGTCCGCAGTCTCTGGTCATCTCCTGCACTGTCCGCAGTCTCTGGTCATCCCCTGCACTGTCCGCAGTCTCTGGTCATCCCCTGCACTGTCCGCAGTTCTGGTCATCCCCTGCACTGTCCGCAGTCTCTGGTCATCCCCTGCACTGTCCGCAGTCTCTGGTCATCCCCTGCACTGTCCGCAGTCTCTGGTCATCCCCTGCACTGTCCGCAGTCTCTGGTCATCCCCTGCACTGTCCGCAGTCTCTGGTCATCCCCTGCACTGTCCGCAGTCTCTGGTCATCCCCTGCACTGTCCGCAGTCTCTGGTCATCCCCTGCACTGTCCGCAGTCTCTGGTCCTCCCCTGCACTGTCCGCAGTCTCTGGTCCTCCCCTGCACTGTCCGCAGTCTCTGGTCATCCTCTGCACTGTCCGCAGTCTCTGGTCATCCCCTGTACTGTCTGCAGTCTCTGGTCATCCCCTGCACTGTCTGCAGTCTCTTGGTCATCCCCTGTACTGTCTGCAGTCTCTTGGTCATCCCCTTCACTGTCTGCAGTCTCTGGTCATCCCCTGCACTGTCCGCAGTCTCTGGTCATTTTCTGCACCGTGTCCGCAGTCTGTGGTCATCCCCTGTACTGTCTGCAGTCTCTGAACATCCCCTGCACTGTCCACAGTCTCTTGGTCATCCCCTATACTGTCCGCAGTCTCTGGTCATCCCCTGTACCGTCTGCAGTCTCTGGTCATCCCCTGTACTGTCTGCAGTCTCTGGTCATCCCCTGCACTGTCCGCAGTCTCTGGTCATCCCCCGCACTGTCCGCAGTCTCTGGTCATCCCCCGCACTGTCCGCAGTCTCTGGTCATCCCATGCACTGTCCGCAGTCTCTGGTCATCCTCTGCACTGTCCGCAGTCTCTGGTCATCTCCTGCACTGTCCGCAGTCTCTGGTCATCCCCTGCACTGTCCGCAGTCTCTGGTCATCCCCTGCACTGTCCGCAGTCTCTGGTCATCCCCTGCACTGTCCGCAGTCTCTGGTCATCCCCTGCACTGTCCGCAGTCTCTGGTCATCCCCTGCACTGTCCGCAGTCTCTGGTCATCCCCTGCACTGTCCGCAGTCTCTGGTCATCCCCTGCACTGTCCGCAGTCTCTGGTCATCCCCTGCACTGTCCGCAGTCTCTGGTCATCCCCTGCACTGTCCGCAGTCTCTGGTCATCCCCTGCACTGTCCGCAGTCTCTGGTCATCCCCTGCACTGTCCGCAGTCTCTGGTCATCCCCTGCACTGTCCGCAGTCTCTGGTCATCCCCTGCACTGTCCGCAGTCTCTGGTCCTCCCCTGCACTGTCCGCAGTCTCTGGTCATCCCCTGCACTGTCCGCAGTCTCTGGTCATCCCCTGTACTGTCTGCAGTCTCTGGTCATCCCCTGCACTGTCTGCAGTCTCTTGGTCATCCCCTGTACTGTCTGCAGTCTCTTGGTCATCCCCTTCACTGTCTGCAGTCTCTGGTCATCCCCTGCACTGTCCGCAGTCTCTGGTCATTTTCTGCACCGTGTCCGCAGTCTGTGGTCATCCCCTGTACTGTCTGCAGTCTCTGAACATCCCCTGCACTGTCCACAGTCTCTTGGTCATCCCCTATACTGTCCGCAGTCTCTGGTCATCCCCTGTACCGTCTGCAGTCTCTGGTCATCCCCTGTACTGTCTGCAGTCTCTGGTCATCCCCTGCACTGTCCGCAGTCTCTTGGTCATCCCCTGTACTGTCTGTAGTCTCTGGTCATCCCCTGTACTGTCTGCAGTCTCTGGTAATTTTCTGCACTGTCCGCAGTCTCTGGTAATTTTCTGCACCGTGTCCGCAGTCTGTGGTCATCCCCTGCACTGTCCACAGTCTCTTGGTCATCCCCTATACTGTCCGCAGTCTCTGGTCATCCCCTGTATTGTCCGCAGTCTCTGGTCATCCCCTATACTGTCCGCAGTCTCTGGTCATCCCCTGTACTGTCCGCAGTCTCTGGTCATCCCCTGTACTGTCCGCAGTCTCTGGTCATCCCCTGTACTGTCCGCAGTCTCTTGGTCATCCCCTATACTGTCTGCAGTCTCTGGTCATCTCCTGTACGGTTTATCTGCAGTCTCTGGTCATTTCCTGTATTACGTCCGCAGTCTCTGGTCATCTCCTGTACTATGTCCGCAGTCTCTGGTCATCTCCTGTACTATGTCCGCAGTCTCTGGTCATCTCCTGTACTATGTCCGCAGTCTCTGGTCATCTCCTGTACTATGTCTGCAGTCTCTGGTCATCTCCTGTACTGTCCAGTGTCTCTGGTCATCTCCTGTACTGTCCAGTGTCTCTGGTCATCTCCTGTACTGTGTCTGCAGTCTCTGGTCATCTCCTGTACTATGTCTGCAGTCTCTGGTCATTTCCTGTACTGTGTCTGCAGTCCATTGGATCAGAATATATTTTTTTCTTGTTTTCCGCCTCTAAAACCTAGGTGCGTCTTATGGTCAGGTGCGTCTTATGGAGTGCAAAATACGGTATATATATATATATATATATATATATATATATATATATAAATAAACATATAAGAAAAACACTGCCACCAAACAAAGTGTCAAAAGAATTAATGACAAAAAAAAAATTAGTGAAATATCAAAACAATCATAGAAAGTCTATAATAAAGTGTAGTCCAAATATAATTCCTTCAAATAATATATTTGCCACAACCATGAATTCCTTTGTGCTCAGCACCCCATCAAAGTGCTAACTCACCAGATACTGGTGTTTAATCAGCATATCTTTCAAACATTAGTAGATGTGAAAGACTCAGCAAAATAACAATTACTCCAGATAATAATCATTCATCAGGTGGTTGATCCAATTATACTCCGTCATGGTAAGTATAATCCATATGTGGATAAATAAAGAACACTCACCATAGCATAATATCGTTTGACTATTTATTGTATCAAAATCCCCCCTTAAAATCAAACTCACAATATGTAAGCTAAAAATCAGCATTCATTAGTATATGTACATCTGCAGTCTGCAAACAATCTCCAGCTCTCACAGTGGCATCTCACCAGCCGCTCTCAGCAACAGATGACGTGGTTGTGGTCACATGGTCCAGCCACTTGGTAACGGCGTACGTGATGACGTCACTGCTCGATCATGCCCTTACGCGTTTCGTCACACGACTTCATCTGAGGGTGTGATCAGCAAGCAGACGTTAGGTCTCTTATAGAGCCGCTCGCACTCCTATAGGTCAGTTCAATAGACCCACCATTGCCATCTAATGAATGAATACATAATGGCATATACTCAACTGATCTGTCTCAATTAGACTATATATCAGGAGGGGAATAAGAAACTCACTCCCTACTGCCATCATGTGTTCAAACAACTTATTGGTAGTCAAAACCTTAAAAGGTGACCCACAATAACAATGATAAAGAACTCATAAATCAAATTTATACAATTATACAAACATATATGTATAAAATAAATTAAATTAAACAAAAAAAAACCATAAATAACAGTACAATAAATAATTCATAAATTAGTAATCACTAATAAAACAATTTAAATCTAATTCCACATTTAGGCCTTTGGGAGTCAAAGCGTTGGTCAAATAAATCCATCTCATTTCACACTTTGACAGTTCTCTTACCCAATTTGACCCACGCCACAAACGGGAAATGGTGTCTATACCCCAAAATTTAATACAGGAAGGATCTTGGTTATTATTTTTTCTGAAGTGCATAGATACACTATGATATTTATAGCCTTTTATTATATTATTCAAATGTTCTAGGATTCTAATCCTTAAATGTCTTTTAGTACAGCCTATGTAAATCAAACCACAAGGACATTCTAGGGCATATACTACGTGGGTAGGTTCACATATAATGAAAATGGTTATATCAAACTTCCTTCCATTGGAATTGGAAAGGAACCTGGTAAATCCACTGCATTTATCCTTAACTATCCTACACGCTGAACATTTTTTTACGTGAGAAAAAAAACTTTTTTATCCCAAAACATTCCCAATTTTTGGGGAAGATTCAAGATCTTTTAAACTACTTTATCCCCAATGGTAGGGGCTTTCCTATAAATAAACATAGGTTTATCAGGAATACAGATCCCAGTACTCTATCCATTTTTAATATATGCCAATGCCTACTGAAAATATTTTCCACTTCTCTAAATTGTGCATGAAAATAAGATATGAAACCCCATTGATGTTTATCATCCAACTCTACTTTTGGATTTTCTCTGAGAAGTTGCTCCCTGGGTATATCGAATACTTCATTCACAGCCTCTCAGAGAAATTCTTGATTATAACCTTTACCAACAAATCTACCCATAATAGTTTCTGATTGATCTAAGAAATCGCTATCCTGGCAGCAATTCCTCCTAAGTCTCATAATCTGACCTTTTGGAATATTTTTAAGCCATAACGAGTGATGTCCACTAAACCATGGGAGATACCTATTACGTTCAGTAGGTTTACAGTAAGTTTTAGTTAACCACTTGAGCTCCTGAGGATTTACCCCCCTTAATGACCAGGCCTTTTTTTGCTGTTTGGCGCTGCACTAATTCAAATGATAATTGCGTGGTCATGCAATGCTGTACCCAAAAAACGCAATTTACGTCCTTTTTTTCACACAAATAGAGCTTTCTTTTGATGGTATTTTATCACCTGTGCGCTTTTTTTTTTTTTGCGCTATAAACAAAAAAAACACGAAAATTTTGAAAAAAAACAATATTTTCTACTTTCAGCTATAAAAAATGTATCGTAAACTCAAAGTTAGTCATAAATTTAAGCCAAAACATATTCTGCTACATGTTTTTGGTAAAAAAAAATCCTGTGCATTAGCTGACAAACTGGCGCTATCTGGGAGGGGCGCTAACACTATCGGAAGTCACCAGTGACACTAATACAGTGATCAGTAAAAATCTGTTTACTGTAATCAATGACACTGGTGACAGGGCAGTGAAGGGGTTAACTGGGGGGGTGATCAAGGGGTTAAATGGGATTACTGGTGTACTGGCGGGAAAACTGGCGCTATCTGGGAGGGGCGCTAACACTATTGGAAGTCACCAGTGACACTGATACAGTGATCAGTAAAAATCTGTTCACTGATCAATGACACTGGTGACAGGGCAGTGAAGGGGTTAATTCGGGGGGGGGCGATAAAGGGGTTAGACGGGATTACTGGTGTATTAGTGGGCAAACTGGCGC